ACGTTCCAGATGTTGGAAATCATGTAAGATGAAGAGTACTATATTGTGGGATATAACCACACATTGTCCGTTTGCAAGACCACCGTTTCAGAATAATAAGTGACCTCCATTTTAGGAATCGAAAAATATGCTGAGCAATAAACCACGGTGAAAGAACGTCATGTTTCCAAAGATACACTTTATATTCCATACCTCCTTCCAGTTTACATTACATTTCATTTTATTACGATACCACAGGTTAAGTTTACTTAGGTGGATTCTACTTACATTTGCCATGCTTGAGCACATGGCCTGAGTTCCAAATATCACTATCGTCAGGTCTGGTCTACGATCAAACGTTGATGGTTATAGTCGTTATAGCGTTCTTCAATGTTTCACGCTCGGTTCTTCAATGACGTCACTGACGAAGCTACCGCCATTCACAATCTTCACAATATCCTTGTGACGCTTATGACTGCTTATGACACCATCGTTACCGATCGTTACGACGGTTACGACACGGAAGACAGCTTCGTTGGCCTCGTTGGCTCATTTCGTACACCTATGCGCACCGTTTTGCACATTTCGTAGTTAAACAATACTCCCTCCCACACGCTCCCGCGTACAGTGACCAATGGCGTGTTAAGAGCGGTTAGGAGAGTGAGAACGCTTGAGATGTGATAATTAGCATCATTAGCAAGCATTAGCACCGAGACACGAAGTACCATAGTTACTTGCAGTGTTATTATCGGACTTCACTTTTTTGATATAGGTATGTAAGTTGTGGGTATTCTTTAGGGTGGCATTCTAAAGAAATTCTGTTTCCTCATATTTTGACAAATTGTTAGAAGCGAACACGCTGAGGTTCATGATATTATTCCGCTGTTGCAATTTCTACTTGGGATTCATCTAAACTTCTCATCTCCCTTTCTGAGGGTTACGTTCTTATTAGAATGCACATTTTTACCGTGTTTAAGGGGTTCATGATATTCCGCTGTTGCAGTTTCTACTTGGGATTCTTATAAACTTCTCAGCTCCCTTTCTGAGGGTCATGTTCCTATTAGAATGCACATTTTTACCGCGTTTATGCATTTTCTTGCCTGTTACACAAATCAGTCCGACATACAAAGGAAGTGGTGAGAGCTTACGGTATGTGGTGAACTGGTTGGAGATGCAGGGTATGCAAATGCATAGCGAATACTATTTTGCGGCACCACGATGTAAATCAGTAGAGTAGGTTTGCTGTTTCTAGGATGTAACTCCGTGCAGTCTGGTAGCCTGCTACCGGCTTTTTGGAAGCAAGAGGTTCACTCAGAATAGGTGAACCAGCTGCCTTCGAAACGTTCGAAGCTGAGCAACAATCTGTCAATACTACACAACGTGCAGTAAGACCATAAGCTTTGTAGTCTCTGCTGTGAGAACAAAAGAAGGCACATCACTAAGTTTTTATACAAAATCATTAGTATGTTTCCTTACAGACCTGGGCAAATATTCGCGGCTAGATACTAGTACGCCTGTTAGAAATATGATGCTACATCACTAGGATTGTAGTAAATCAATTCATTTGCAGCCACAAAACGTGTGATAAGAAAAGTTTCGAGGCAGTGGAAGGTTCTGCATTCTCAGTGCCAACAATTCTGCTACAAAGAGCTGAAGAAATATTCCCTGCTGTGAGAGAAAGGATGGTAAGTGTTTTGTGCTTGTGTGTGCAGAAAAATTTTATCTGTCAACGTTTTATACCAATCTTATGTTAGTTTTCATCATCCATATGGGGAGTTTACATGGTTCTTCATATTATAACAGTTTGCTATATTATGTAGGAGAGGGATCAATTCAAGGAGAGTGATATGGGTAGGTCATATAGCACACATGTGAGAATGAGAAATGCGTACAAAGATTTTGACAGAAGACCTGAAAGGATGAGACCACTTGGGAGACAATTGTGAAGATGGATTTTGTTTAAAGATACAATTATGGGGCTTTAGACTGGGTTTGTTTGTGTCAGGATGCAAAGTCATGATGGGCACGTGTGAACACAGTAATGAGTGCTAAGGTTCCATAAAGACCAGATAC